ACCTTCCTTCCGAGGAGTGGCTGGTGGGTTTGAACCGCCAGCCTTCTGGTTAGCAGTCAAGTGCTTTAGCCACTATGCTACCAGAGCTCCTTCTAAACAAGTTAAAACTTGGTATGTTCCAGGGACTCTTAAACAATCTTTAAAAAACAGATAGGGTTTTGTTTTGTTGTTGTGGCCGTTTATCTGTTAAAATGCTTTTCTCTTTCAGCTGTGTTCACTTTTCTCCATAAATAATAGATTTAGAAAATAGTTGCTAGCAAAGCCTGGTATAGCAAGCTTATGGTCCCCCTCACAAGATAGCTGATGTAAGTTTTAACATGGGAACTGGATAGAGCAGGCGATGTTCTTCATAGTTTGCACTATGTCATGAGACTATTTGCATACTAACTACTTTGTAATTTCTATTAGAGACTTAGAGAAGCCCACCTGCCAGGGCCCCAAATGAGAAAACTGAGATTGGGTATAAAAGAGAGAACAGTGACTAGTCCTCTAAATGTCCAGGATGCTTCACTGTGGAACCACCTCTTTTACTCGTCCCTCCAAACACAGGAGTGATCTCAAATCTCTGCTCAGACTTTGGAAATTGTTCAATAGTGAAGAAGAGACATCTCAGTATCAGAAAGCCAGTGTGGGTAAAATCTGACAATTGCTTGAGTTCTCGAGCAGAAAATCAAGGGATTTTGCCGAGCTGCCCTTCTGATTAATGTCTTTCTACTTAAGACTTCTGAACCTTTCGCCTTCTGACCTATAGTAAGAACTTGTACACTACTTTGCGGAAAGAGTGCCAGGAAAATCCTCTCTGAATGACATGTAGCCATGGCCCCAGACACCTGGCCATGTGCTCCTATGCCAGACTGTTTCCCTTCCAGCTCTGTATTGTATTTGCTCATTGAATCACCTGTCTTCCCCATATGACTGGGAGCTCCAAAGGGGCGGACACCGTGACAACTCACTTCACCTGTTAACCACCCCACACCTAAAATGAGCCTGTCACACAAGAGGTGCACTATCAACACTGAATGGTAGTGTGCACGTGAGCCGAGGATTCTTCAGAAAGGACAGTTCCCCCTGCCACTCCATACCCCAGCCAGTGCCCAGCAGAGGGCTGGGCAGGAAGCCAAGGCCCAATCTGCAGAGACCCAGAATCGGGAAGCTTGGCAAGGGGTCATAAGGTCTGATCCTGAATGGAGACGAGAGTTCCAGGGGCCACAAGAGTTATGTGAGCTAGCACAGTATGCTTACTCCCTACCCAGCACTGCACTAGCCTCTTTACACTGATTATTTCATGCAGTGCTCACACCACTCCTTAACTTAGAAATTATTACCTGCATTTTACAGATGGGGAAACAAGCCACAAAGGTAGCAAATATAGAGCCAACATCTGAACCCAGGTCTGTGAAGTGCCCTGAACAACTAAACTGGCTCAGCATAATGCCGTTCTTTACGACTAGCCTTCATTCATCTCCATTCTAACCCTGCCTACTTCCAGGACATGAACTGGAAAGAGCATGAACTCAGAAGTGCAAGCTTGGAGGCCTCAGCTCTGCCATTAATGAGCCGTGGGTCTGAGTCCAGGTCTCCTCATCTATAAAATAAGAGGTTAACCAGATGATCTCAAAAAGGTATTATCTAGGTTTTAAGATTGATGTCTGCCTGGAAAATGGCAACCTTACCGCTTGGCCACCATCTACTTTCCACACTGAAGAGAGAGTGGCACATTGGTTCCAGTTTGATCTGTTTATTGACAAATCAAATGAAAAAAAAAAAAAAAAGTCACTTAAAACAGGGGTTTAAGATCATAATGTGGTTAACAAGGGGAAAGAATATAGCAGTAAGGAGGGAGAGTGAGGTTGAAAACACCATTAGAATAAAGACAAGGAGGAAGAGAGTATCTGCTAAAATTCACACCGCTCACCTTTCAACTTTTCAGCCAGCACCCAATTTATTCTTTCTTGGACAGGGTCAACAGCTAGAAACAGCTTAAGTGCACATATTCGTAGTCTGTCTACAAGATCTGGGAGATGCAGAGCTGGAGGGAAAGTGGGTATAGGATTCTGAGGCATCCTATAGCTTGAATCTGTGGCTAGAATGCTGTTTGCAGTGAAGTGAGAGTCAGGAAGCTTAATCTTGGTCACAGCTGTCATGAAAACTACTGCATGACTTTGGGTAAGTTACTGTTCCTTTCTAAGCTACTTCTTACCTATAAAACTAACAAGTAGGACTTGATGGAAGGTTCAGCTCTGGCTCTAGCATTCTTCAATACCAAGTGTTCTGGCTGCCTGTGCTGGGCCAGAAGACTGGCTCAGCTTCTGGAGATGTAAGACTTAGAGGCCCAGCCAGGGTAACTTGGCCCAGGCCTTCAGTTGGAGTCCACTCTATCAGCAGCAGTAACAGCAATTGAGAGGGGTCAGTGTGTGCACACAGTATGGGTGGCACACACACCATGTAAGAAATTCACTCTTTTGCCAAAGTCTCTGCCAAGAGTGGCTGAGGGAGCTTGGGCTTTGCTCTAAACAGAAGGCAGGGTCAGAGGTCAGAGGCCTGAGGTGATCCAAACAAAGCAATCACACATTGTGGAGGGTCTGGAGATGCAGGGGTGAGGCAGGAGGTTCAGAGAGTTGGGCTTTAGGATGGAGTAGAGAGACACTGGTAGGGAGAGCCACACTGGCACCTCAGTATATACCAGACTGCTCATTCAGAATCCCTTCCCCCACCCAAAAACTGAGGCCTAGGCCCCTTGATCTAGTTGAAGCAGCTCTTCAGGTAGAGATGCCACAATTGGCATCAAGATCCTTGATTCCTACAGGGTTAACACCAACAAAACATGGAGTCACCTCCATTGGCTAAAGTAGGATGAGGTAGGCTGGACCGATTCTCCCCTTTCCCCTGCCTAGATTGTCAAGTGGGCCACTTATGGCTGGTTTTCCACCCTAACTCTGAGCCACTACCCTTTTTTGACAGCTAGGTAGGCCTGTCCTGGCCTGAGGAAGCCACCTGTGAAGCCAAGGAGCCAGTGCCTCAGAACAGCCCACACACAATCTGTCAGCTATGACAGGTCCAAGGGCAAAGGGTCCCCAGGGAACAGGTTGGAGGGAGAAGCCCACATTCGAGGTTTCTATTCCAGAGAAAAATGTGGTTTCATTTTTTTCCAGGGCCACACTGGTTCCATGGCTAAGGTAGCCACAAGATTCTGGGGCATGTAGGTATACACAAGCATGCCTGCATGTGAAAGGGTAAAGGGGATACTTGGGGGAAAGAGACTGAGTTTGGCCTATCTTGGTAAGGGGACTTTCTATTCCCCAAGCCACAATTGCCAGAGGCCCATATCTGATAGCCTTTGGCAGATTCTCTGAGTATCTTAAACTGAGGGTGTTTCCACAGGGACGCTAGTCCCTAGTTCAATGCAATTCAACAAAGCTTTATGTAACTTCTCTACAAAAGGCACAACTGTGGGCCCCCAAGTATGAGAGCACTGCTGGGGCAAGGGGAGGCCTATTAGCACACACCAGGAGCCTGGGGGCTGCACCACGCTCCAGCTCACTGTTCCAAGGCCTTGAAAGACAGGGGAGTGCCGCTCTTGGCAAAGGCTTTCATCAGACTGCTAGGATAGATACAGCCCAACTTCTCTGGGGTTGGGAAGCCCCATACCCTATAAAGAGACAAGCTCAGCCGGTCACCAATATAGAAGGGACCCACCCATTTGGCACTACTGCCATTCCTGGGGAGGGACAGCACGAGAACCTGGTCACCCACGTTCCACTCCTTCTCCTGGCTCTCCCGCTTAAAACACCTGTTCTCCGCCTTCTCAGAGGCCTTGTCGGCCACCCTCCAGTGGAGTTCCAGCAGTTCTCCAATGAGCTGGAGCAAGAAGATGTCCATCTTGAGCCCTTCAATACTGGCACTGCTCATCTCCCACCAGAGGGGCTCGGCCAGCTTCACCTCACTCCCAGTCAGGATTTGGAAAGGTGTAACCTGTGTGGAGGAGGCCCTGAAGGCCAGGTGTAGCAAGGGCAGGGAAGCTGCCCACTTCTTCCCATGCAGAAAGATGAACTCCTTGAGGGCTCTCTTGAACTCCCAGTAGGCCCCTGAGGTCGTCAGACAGGGGAACTGGAGGTCTCTACTCAGGCAGACCGCCTGGGCCCCCAGGGCTAGCCCACAGCTCACAAGGACATGCCGGGCAAATTGGGAGCCCTGGGCTGCCTCTAGCCTCACGGGAACACCCCACCTGGCAAATACGTGCTGCAGCAGCACCTGGGCCACGGCTGTGTGTGTGTAGGGCTTCAGTGGGAATGCCTCCACCCACCTGGTGTTGGGGTCAGCCACAATAAGCACATGCTTGTGGCCCTCCTCACTGATGGTGACCGGACCCACTACCTCAATCTGCAGGTTCGACCAGGGGGCAGTCGACCTGATGGGCCACAGGGACTCAACAGCCTTCAACTCACTGCCTATGAGATTCCTGGGGATGCAGAATAAGCAGCTCCTGCAGTACACTCTCACATGCTCCTGCATCCCAGGCCACCACCCCAGTAACCGTAGCTTCTTGTAGGTCTCCTCCGGCCTCTGATGGGCCCCCATGGGGAGGTCATGCACCAAGAAAATCAGATCCCTCCGGAGTTGCCTTGGGACAACCCAGACCCTGGGCCTCTTGTCTCCCTTGAACATAAGCAGGCCACTCTCCTCATCAAGGCTGAGGGAGCTAAAGGCAGAAGTGAAGGGTGAGGAGCTGGGCAATTTCTGTCCAGCCTGCAGCTTGGCAATGATATCCGCGAGGGTGCTATCACTCAGCTGCAATGCCAGCAGGTTGGGCCTCTTGCCTTTGGTATGGGGAGACACTACAGGGACTGGTACATCCTTTGGCAAATTCCACCACTGCCCACCCCTCTGGGCACCCTGTTTGGCCAGGGTGTCCACCGTCACTGCAAACAGGGACCCCCGATAGGATGTTCGGTAGATAAATGGGAGGGATGAGAGGCCAGAGGTGAGGGATATAATGTAGGAGAGCAGGTCTGGGTGAGGTAGTGGAGCCCCGTCAGAAGAGAGGAAGCCCCGAGCCCTCCAGAGGGGAAGGAGCTCCCAGAGGAGGCTGAAGATCCAGTTGCAGTGGGTAAGGAAAACCACAGGGAAGCTGGACTGGCCAAAGCGCTCCAACCCACAGGCCACGGCCGCCAGGTAGGCATAGGTTGGGGTGTAAGGGGAACAGGAAAAGGAAAGGGAGACAGGGGGACTGGTTGGAGACAAGACATAAAGGCCAAAGCCAGCACACCACTCATCCTCACGGTAGAAACAATAGCCAGACATGTGGATGCAGACAAAAGTAGACAAGTCGGAAAAAGGAGGCAGAACCTGGAAAAAACGAGGCATGGAAGCAGCAGGCATCAGGAGTCGGTTTTCCTCCAGCAGGCCTTGGAGAAGGGTCAACTCCAGAGCCCTTTTGCCTTTGTCCTGTACCAACAGGGACCATCGGATCAGCCATGCTTTGGAAACACTGCAGCCTTGCCTCACTTCAGGGTCCACAGTGGTCCGGGAGGCATAGGAAAGGTCTAAGACCACTGGGAGGTCCCCAATACAGCGGGAAAAATGCTTGAGAGCCCAGGCCACTGCATAGGGGCTGTCTCCCCCTGACTGAGGGCCCTCGCCATCCTCATCAGGGAGCAGGGGTTTCGAGGTATAGGCTATGGGGTGCTTCCTCCCTGAGTGCTCCTGGTAGATGATGGCTGTCAGGGCCACCTTGCTCACCGTCACCTCCAGGTGAAAGGGCAGCTGGGAATTGGGGGCTGTGAGACAGAGGGCAGACACGAGGGCTCGCTTCAGGGCCAGGAAGGCCATCTCATGCTCTTGGCCCCATTGCCAGTCTGGCTTCTGCTTGAGAAGGCTGTGAAGGGGGCCCACAAGGGCTTCATAGTCAGGGATGACATCTTGGTGGGAGTCCATGAATCCCATAAAGTAGGAGAGTGCTGTGAAGTTGCTGGGGACTGTTAGCTGGGCCAGGTGGGCCAGAACCTGTTGGCAGGGAGCCTTCCCATCCCAGGGGATACCCAGGTAGGGAGAAGCCACCCCAGGCAAGAGATCAATGTCCAGGGCCCCATCAGGGGGGTCATTGAGGCTGAGGCACTGAAGGATCTCCTCTGACAGGGAGGGACACTCAACGCCAAACACTGATGCCAGGGAAGAGTCGAGGTTGTCTTCCTCAGCCAGCCTCTGCATCCCCTGCCCCTCTCTCTGTTCTTCATTCCGCCTCTCCTTCTTCACCCTGACTTCTTCCATGTGCTGCAGACTCTTCAGGGGCTCAGGGTCAGCAGCATCACTCAGCCCAGAGATGCTGGCTGAACTGGAGGGAAGAGTCTTCCACACCTTCAGGAAATTGCCAATGTCGGTGTCCAACCTACATCAAAAGAGCAGAGTGGAGGGGCTGGGGGTCCTGATAGAAGAAGAGAGACAGCTCCACTCCAAGAGGTCATCCAAGGGGAAAACCTCATCCTTGGAAACCCTTTGGAGCTTTACCCATTCCTAAGTGTCTCAGATGGCATAGCCTAAGGAGCATTAGGCAGGCTGCCGTAAATCCCTCCTCTGTATCCTCCTGCATGTGCCCAGAACCTCCATATTCAACTCCATATTCATCTATGCTTTGAAGCCTTGTCAAATCAAAACTTCATTGGCAGGTAATACTGAAACCAGTCTTGAGCCAATGGTTTGGTGAGTGGTATTGACTGGCAGCTTCCAACCTGACCACAGGATGAGCAATGCAGGGAGAGGGCAAGAAAGGGAAGGAGAGCCTGACACCACAGACAAGCCTGGTCCACATCATTTTTTCCCAAACTGGCAAAATGGAACTGGGGGACTTGGTCCAGGAAGCCGTGCCCTACTGATAAGGTTCCGACCACTCCCCTGCTGAGCCCAAGGAACTGGAAGGAGGATAGCAAGGTGGCTCAGTGACAGTGGAAGTCAGAGGATCTGACTTACTACAAACCAGTTCTGTCAGCACCAGCAAAAGGACCTTGGAAAGTGACTTGAGTGTCAGATTCCTCATCTGTAAAATGAGAATACCAAACCAAACTCACTGCCATCAAGTCAGGCACTGCGCCACCAGAGCTCCTCAAAATGAGGATTAAAGAAAACCAAACACGCTGACGTCGAGTCAGACCGACCCCTCCTTGGGTTTCCGAGGCGGTATCACTAGGGAAGTAGATTGCCCAACTTTCCCTCCAAGGAGTGGCTGCTGGGTTTGAACCTCCAGCCTTCTGGTTAGCAGTCAAATGCCTCAGGCACTACACCACCAGAGTCCCAAAATGAGGACAGTGGTCATTTATATCTAATTCAAGTTGTAAGGATTAAATGAGATAATGAATGTGGAAAAAAATTCCCACTAAGTATCTACTCTAGAGACAGCTCCTTTGTACACAATGAAACCAGAATGAGACTGTTCACTGTGGCCTTGATACCAATAGGATAACATGGAAATATTCAAAATGGCCCTCAATAGGAAAACAGATAAACACACTGGTTATTCATGCAAGGGAATCCCACACAGCCATTAAAGTGAGTTACACAATTAACACGGCACACATCTGGAAAACTAAGAAACCAGTGAGTACAAAACAAGTTGCAGAAGGATACATATAGTATTAAAGTAAAATGTAAAGTTTTAGAACTGCAAAGCCATACTGTAAGTGATTTATGGATACATGTAAATGTGGGAAAGGAGCTCTGGTGACAGTGTCTAAGGCACTTGACTGCTAACCAGAAGGCTGGCGGTTCAGACCCACCAGCCACTCCTCGGAAGGAAGGTTGGGCAATCTACTTCCCTCGTGATACCGCCCTGGCAACCCAAGGAGGAGTTGCTATGAGCCGGGTCTGACTTGACGGCACATAACAACAACAACACGTTGCCTAGCACTAGGGGGAAGTTTCTATCAGTCCCAGGAGGGAATGGAAAGTAAGGAGGCCTGGCCCATTACCTGTTTGGCTTCTTCAGAAACTCATCCAAGGTGGGGCCATCACGGCCCAGAGGGTCATCTGGTACCATGAAGAGATTCCCAGCAAAGGTGAAGGGCAGTAGGCTGGGCCCAGAAAAAAAAAAAGGCACAGTCACAGAGGACCCCTTGACCCACCCACACCCCATTATTACTTAGGTGTCTCCACAGCCAAGAAGGGGCTGAGATCCACATCTCCTTCAAGGAGACAGTGATGAACACTTCTGCAAGCCCCTCTTCTCAGCCCCAGTATTTCCCCTGCTCATGGGCTACCTGACATCCAAGAAGAAGGAACAGCACAGCCCCCAGGGAGCCACCTCACCGATCTTTAACCATAAGTTTCTTAGAATTATTCATCAGGACATGGATCTGCTCATTGGTGACAATGATGCCATCTGTCTCCTCTGCCAACTTTACCATGAACCTGCAGGGAAAAGAGGAGACATTAATGACCCAGAAACCAGACCCTCACTCCTGAAGTCTTCTTTAAAGGAAAAAAAAAGTCCTTGCAGCCTCACACTGAGGTAATAAAAATGCTACCCTTCCTAATCAGAGAGCCAGGGCTCCAGGAATACGATCCCTCCACTATGCAGCCATCTGGGATTCCTGAACTTTCCTCTATTTGTTTCTCCCAATAGCCACCTAGGAGGGGAAACTTAGATGTACACACACCCAACTATACATACAAACACCCCCCTATTATACACAACCCCCCCAGCCACTCCTTGGAAGAAAGGTTGGGCAATCTACTTCCATAGTGATACTGCCTCAGAAACCCAATATTATACACATAAGCATAAATATATACAACATGTACAGACATATACATAGAAATTACACATTTGTCCACACATACATATATATTGCTTCAGAGTTTACAACTGTAAATTGGAGATAAAATACCTACCCTATGTTATTGTGAGGATTAAAATGGATTAGATAATGCATTTGTGTATCTAAGTCAGTGCCTGCCACACAGCATACACACAAATATTTCATTATTATTGTACACCAAAGCACAACATCCATATAGCTGCCAATAATGTATATACGGTAATATATATACAAACACATGGCTGGACAAACTAACCCATTTTCTCAGGGATCACCTCTCCTCTAAGTAGAAGTAAGACCAGGAAAGAAAGCGAAGGCAAACTACATCTCTGCATTCCCTGAGGATTTCCGTTCCCACTACCCCAGCATGCTATTCCACAAGTGCCCAGCAGAGGGGCTGCTGTAGAAAAGCCTCTTCCTTCAAACCCAGGCCTGCATTCAAAGGCACTTGGAGTAGATTCTCAAGGAACTCTGGTGATGTAGTGGTTAAGGCATTTGGCTGCTAACCAAGGTTGGTGGTTTGAACCCATTAGACACTCCATAGAAGAAAGATAAGGCAGTTTGCTTCTGTAAAGATTTACGGCCTTGGAAACCCAAAGGGAGTCACTATGAGTCAGAATCAACTTGATGGCAGTGAGTTCGGTTTGGTTTTTTGGAGAGTAGACCCTCAGGATACATACTGACACAGTGGTTGCAACCATGGGCTCAAACATAACGATTGGAAGGATGCCATAGGACCCAGCAGTGTTTTGTTCTGTTGTACATGAGGTTGCTATGAGTTGGCACAGACTCAATGGCACCTAACAACAACAGAGTCCTTACCCAAGGAGTACAGCCTTCCCAAAATCCAAGATAGGACACAAGCCCACTACATCACTTCTACAGCTATGCTGGGGAGTGGGAGTTTAGGATTGACAAGCAGGGAGACACTTGGGATTCAGCTAGTGGGCCAGGCCAGCCTAAGTTCAATTCCAGAGCCCAGCCCAGGGACCCTACCACATAGAGCCTGACATCTATCTCCTTCCAGACCCAGGTCTGGGTAGAGGAAAAGACTGATGCAGCTTTTGATACATTAACTCCCACTTAATTGGCACCCAAAACCAGGTGCCTGGGGTACCTCTGACACTCACTTGAAGCACTAGAAGTCACCTGAGCTAACCTGACGCAAAGCAGCTGGGCCTCCACCTGCCAGTCATGGGGGAAGAAAGCCTGTTAACTAAGAGAAACCGAACTGCTGCATTCCAAAGTCAGGAACAACCCTTGGCTTGGGCAGAACCGGTCGTGGGGCCCTTTCCTTGCTTGTGCCCCACCCCTTCCTCTCTGGACATGATCCCCTCTGAGACATTTGCCTCTATTTCCCCAGAGTAGATAGGGCAAGACTCCAGCTGACGCAGCAGGCAGCCCAGCCGCTGGGCCCCACAGAGGAAGGCTTCGGGAGCAGGCACACCTGTAATCATATGTGGTGATCTTCTTGCCATTCTCGAGCTGGGACGGGGTGATTGAAAGCATCTTAAGGGAGTGCAGCTTTGTCAGAAAGTGGCTCTCTGGAAGTGAAAGGCAGAAGACAGAGCTGGTTAGAGGAAGGGCTAAGTGGAAAAGGTAGGTGGATGGGGGAAGAAAGGCAGAGAAGAGAGAAGCCTGGTGATTGCGGAGGGGCTGGGCGGGCAGGAGATAGCTCACCTCTCACCCTCCGGTTTTTCTTCAGCTGCCAGGTGGGCACAAATACAGTGACCTCTCTGTGTCCCCGGTTCCAGAAGTACTGCACCGCCATGGCAATGCCACGGCAGGAAAAGAAGTGCTGGAGGCCGTGCCTGTGGGGTGGCTGGGAGTAAGGGGGCAGCCTCCTGTGCCATGAATGGCCCTGCCTCACAGTCCTCCTCAAAGCCAGCCCTGCAGGGCAGCAAAGTGGGCAAAGACACCAACAACGTCGTTCTGCCTCCATCAGCAAACATTCTGTGAGCACCTACTGGGTACAGGACACTGTCAGACATTGTGCATATGTGTAGATGTGCGTGAGTGTGCATGTGTGTGCACATGTCCATGTGTGTAGCAGTGGAGAGCACTACAGGAGGAACAGGGCAACCTCTACACTCAAAAGAACTCATTTTAGAAGCTAGAAAGCAAATAAGCATTCACTGCTCACCTACTGGGTGCTGGGTATGTGCTCAGTACAGGTAACTACAAAGTGGCAAACTGAGTGGCCAATAAGTGCTGTGAGGGGAAGGTGATCTCTAAAGGCTGGCACAGTCAGGAAATGTTTCATGGAGGAATTATGCTGGGCCTTGAAATTTGGGCTAAAGGTTTAAAAGCTTGTCCGGGGTTGACAGATACCATCCTCTGTTGAGTCAGCTTGGAAATAGCACAGGCCTTGGCATTTGACAGAACTAAACCCAAAGGCCAGCTAGCCCCTCACTGGCTCTGGTAGATTGGGCAAGATTCTTCACCTCTCTGAGCCTGTGTCTACATCTATTAAGGAGGGACAACAGAAATCTACCTTTGCAGGGCTGCTGTGAGGATTCAATGCACACACCTGGCATGCAGTAAACATTCAGCATGTGCCCCTTCTCTCCCCACCATTTCCCCATTTGAACCACCCATATACAGAGATCAGAGGGGATGCATACGTTCCATCTCCCAGGGACACCCTACCCCACCTCCACAACCTACCCCAGGTCTGCCCATGGGCTACTTACACCATAGCCACGCTGCTGCCATCAATGACCACTCGCCGCAAGCCCTGGTCCCCGGGTTCCTGTGACAGGCTCAGCTCAAAGGGTGTATTCAGGGCCTCATGGTACCTCTGGAAACTGGTCACTGTACCATTCACCTGTGGGTGGTGAGGCGGTTGCCTCGGGGCCCCTTCCCAAGCCCCCAGAAGACTCTCCTGGGGACGGTGTTGACTGTAGGAGGCCAGAGTGTCATTGCCCTGGGGACCTTGGCTCTTCTGGAAGGTGGCACTGCCCTTGGAGGGAGACTGGGTCAGCCCTGAATCTGGAGGTGCCTTCTGAGAGCCCAGCATTTTGGGAACTCTTGAGGCTTTGGAAACTGCAGGCGCATTGGAGGCTGCAGGTGCTTTGGAAGTTTTAGAGGAAGGTACAGTTTGAGCTTTGGACATTTTGGAACCTGCAGGTGATGTTTTCACTGCAGGCATCTTTTGAGTTGTGGGAGTGTGAGGAGCCGTGGACAGCATTTGAGTAGCAGGGGCCAGCTGATGCATGGCTGCTTTCTGAGCTGCAGGCATCACCTGAGCTGCTGGCTCTGTCGGAGCCGAAGGCACTTCACGAGGTGCAGTTGCTGTGTGCACTGCCTGCATCATCTGAGCTGCAGGCACTGGGGGAGCGGCAGGCAGCATTTCAGTTGTGGGTGTTTTCTGAGCCGTAGGCACCGCTGCAGCCACGGACATTTGTAGAGTTTCAGACACTGTTTGAGCCTCAGGTACTGACTGGGCTGTCACGGCCAAGGGCCTGTCTTGAGCTGAGGGCATCCTTTGCCCTATATGTCCCGCTGGAAAGGGCCTCTCTTTCAGTTCCTTGCAATCCCACTGTGTGCTACCTTGATCCCCTGGCTCACCTACAGCTTGCAGTTGAAGTGCAGAGGTAGAAGGTAGCCCTATCTGCGCCAGTCCTGAGCTAAATCTGTCCTTTACCCCTGAGCCCCCTGGGACCACCAATAAACTCATGACTTTTTGAGGGGTCTCTAGCCTCGGGCAATTCTCTAGGGCTACCTTTCCTCCCAGCCCCCCATTTGGTCTACAAGCTGGGCTTTCCACACTGAGCAAAGGAGATAGTTCCTTCAACTTCCACCCCAGGTTTAAGGGCAAAGGATTCTTCCTTGGAAGCTTAAACTGAATGGGGCTTAGAGACCTCTGCCAGAAGGAAAAGTTGAAACATGCCTGGGACAGGAGCCAAGCCAGGTGAACAGAATGCAGTTCACTGATTCTCCAGAACGTTGCAGCAATAGCCCCTGGCCACAAGGGCCTAAAGGCTGACCCTGGGCTCCAGGCCTTCCAGGGCCGGCACACACCCAGAGCTGACACCGGTGGCTGGAAGGAGAGTTTATCTTCCGCCCTCTGGACCTGCCTCTGCTGCAACAAAGCTTGTGTGTCCTTCACAGAGGTTTGGCTGCTGGTAGCTTGCGCTGGCCTTTCCTCACGCACATTGTCCGAACCACCTTTGTTGTTGGAACAGACCCTAGAAGAAGCCCAAGTTTGTTGGAAAGGTAGGAAAGTAGCTATTACTACTTCCCTGGGGTGGGGGAGCAGGAGTAGGATTAGCAAAACTGGATTCATTCTCCACAACTTACTGTACTGGCTGGTTTGCTGTCTCCTGTTGTTTGGGCTGGGCTGGGATCTCCTGAAGGCCAAAGATGCCTGAGACCAGGGGCCCGGTGGCTCCCAAGTTGGTTAATCTCTTCAGATCCTCTGGGTGCCCATTCTGGAAGGTTCCCATCTCCAGTAAGGGCTTGGAACCCTCCCCACCAGGCACCATGGCTGGACCTTCCTTCTGCTGGTGGGGAGAGCAGATCAGGAGCCCCGGGCCGGAGAGGGTGTCTGAGATGCCGACGCGGCCCAGCCACTTGAAGATGTCTTCCTTGCCTGCAGCATCCCGCACCAGGCTCAGCAGCAGCTCCTGGACTGCAGGAGGCAGCTGGAGCAGATCCCCTGCATACTGGTCACCACGGATCCAGACCAGGGCCCCAAAGGCTCGGGCCACCTCCGCCTCCCAGATCCCCCGAGGGATCAGCAGAGGAACAGGGCCCCAGCGCAGCCTCCCCACCAACTCCTCCAGCCAGTTCTGGGTCATGATGAAAGACTCAGTCAGCCCGCCCACCATCAGGGACCCCGGGGGACCAGGCACCAGGTAGGCCAGGGTGCTCCAGCAGAGGCAGTCGAGGAAGAGGCCCTGGGCCCCAAGGAAAGCGCAGTGCAGGACCGGTGGGTAGCGAACCTCCTTCCACAGCTCGGGGCTACACAGGCCCTTCAGATACTCCTGGGCACAGTGGGATGAGCACAAAGGAAATCAACCCTTTGTAAGCCTGGCACCAGCTCTGTCCTCTCCCACCCAGAACACCTGTCCCTGCTAACTGTGTGCCCCTCTCTCCTTGGTCCTGCCACCTCATAAACCAAATTATTTCCAGGGAACCTTCTGACAGAATAGAGGAGGCATAAGAGGCGTGAGGCACAGGAAAACCTGGACTCAGAATCAAGTCGTTCCAACTTGACCTCAAAAGCTAAGGTTAATTGTGGGGAGATGATCGTCTTCTCAGTCTCAGCCTCCATCTCTTCACCTGTAAAATGGCAGACTAAGCTAGATATTCCTAAGGCCCATTCTTATTCTGGCATTCTAGAATTCCCTAACAGTCAGGGGAGACAGGGTTGTACCATCCACTCACCAGGAATTTGACATGGATGACTAAGCATACAAGACAAGCATGGATGACAAGCATACAAGAAAGGAGGCTATATAGCTTTGAATTATGGCTCTGCTACTTCCCAGCTACATGCCCTGGGGCAAGTTATTTAACCTGCCTGTGCTCTGGTGGCGTAGTGCCTAAGGCATTTCACTGCTAACCAGGTTGGTGGTTCAAACCCACCAGGCACTATGCAGAAGGAAGACTGGGCAATCTACTTCCATAAAAATGTACACCTCAGTAACCCAAAGGGGGTCGCTATGGAGTTGGGGTCAACTTGATGGCAGTGAGTTTGGTCTGGTTTTTGGTGCCTACATTTCCTCATCTATAAAATGGGGATAATAATAGCTCCTGCCTCATTAGGCTATTAGGTAGCTTCAGTGAGTTATTACATAGGAATGCACAAACTTCAGAGCCATTTTACACACTCTGAAGGGCTATGTAGCCTGCCCATGGGCCCCCAGTCAAACAGTGACTGAACCAGCATCACAACACATGTCTGTCTGACTCTGAAACCAGAGCTCTTTCCACCTCCGCTGGCTGACTGCATAGTGACTTCAGGGTAATCCTGTGAGATTAGGGCTTAATCCCCCTCCAGAAGGTCTTTCAGCACAACCTGTACTGTAACCATGGTAACTCTGTTACCGAGAGGAGACCAACCTCTCATTTACAGGACTCACACAGTCATCAGTCTTAAGTATTGGCTGGGATGGGGAGAGGCTAGGTTCCTCCACTTTATAGCTTGAGGTCCACCACCATGACCCTCTGAGCTCCAAGGGAACAGGAACATTCTCCTCCTAACCAACTTAATCATGTTGACTGCATTTATCCTCATGTATTTCCACATCCATGTGTCTATGATAGTCACGCTCTTCCTGCTTTCCATTTGGAAACAAATGCTGCATTTGAGATCTCTAATGCCCATCTTAAAGACCACTGCAGCCCCTTGGCTCAGTTCCCAGACCACCCTCAGGCTCTGCTCAGGCCTCAGCTTACCTCCTCCACCCGGCCCAGGCCATGGACCTCCAAGCCCCTCCCCAAAGAGCCGATACATACCCAGGCACTTAGGCCTGGGTCCAACCTCTTTTCAATCACTCCAAAACCTACTGGACATCCGAAGCCAAGTCCTCCTAACGGGAACCTCAGCTTATCCCACTGCCCAGCAAGGGGGGATCTGACTAGGCATTCCAATGACATGAAAACAATATATGGAAAGAAGATATATGCTGGAGAAGAAGTTTATGCGTGCTTTCTTTGTCTTTTTGCAAAAAGCTTTAAAAGTATTAGTATATCGATTGTTCAGTATTTTTTAATTAAAAGGTGTATGTTATTGTTAGGCGCCATTGAGTTGGCTTTGACTCATGACAACTTTATATATAACAGAATGAAACATGGCCCAGTCTTGCACCATCCTCACAGTCTTTGGTATGTTTGAATCCATTGTGACTGACATCACTTTCAAGATAATAAATCTGAAATAATGTTTATTGAGTACTTACTATGTGCTGAGCCCTTTACACATATTATCTCATGTATTCCTCTCTCATTCCTAGGAGGACATTACCATTATCTCCATTTTGGAAGAGCAAGGAAGGCCACATGTCCAAGATCAGACAGATCGTAAACTGAGAAACTCAGGCACTGTGATGTCAGAGTATGAGGTCTTACTCATGATGATGTCTAGACCATAGAGAAAGAGAAGATAAGGATAAAAACAGGCATTCACAATTCAGAAAACATCTAGAATAATCTTCCTACTTAAAGCCTACCTAGACCTTTTTCCTCCAAGAGGAGAGAAGATAGAGAAGAGGCAGGAACAATAGAGAAGGGATAAAGATGAAAAGAAAATAAGCACAGAAAAAGAGCCATGTATTTGTAAAATATATTGCCAAGGTCCCACAGGCCCTTTGCCAACTTATAAATTAAATGAAAACAAAACAATAACATCAAATATTCTAATATTACTCCATACCTGATCAGGATGCTTTATTAAACTCTTGGCTTCTCCTTTCTCATAAATCAGTTACCTTCCAGAACCAATCCAATTTGCACTGGAGAATACTCAAAAGGCTCAGAAAATGGCAGCACTAAGAAACTCTGGAATTGGGAATGAAGGGGAACCTAAAATAAGGAGAACTAAGGTAAAGATGTTTGAGGAGCAGATAGATCCAGGAACCCATCCTCCACCACTCAAGCTAGGCAAGTACCTCCCCACGCCAGCAGATGGCTGGAGGTTTGTTCTCTAGAGAATAGAAAAAAGGTCAATCAACATACTGGAGAACATGAATGTCATACAAAAAATATGGAGGAGTAAGGAGGTCAAATAATGATGTATACAATGAAAATTGAGTGCAGAGAAACTCACTATTCCCATTCAGAGCACTGGCAGCCAAACTCTGACCCTCCGGGCAGGGAGTAAAGACTTGGGAAGTCTGACCAGCCCAAGAGCAAAGACCTATTATTGGTCACAAAGTAGGTGCCTTAACAGGCAGTGCCCCAAATCTCTCTACAATCAAGCTCAAAATCAACAAGCCTCGCCCACAAACCTGCTCTCAATCAGCTGTCTGTCCTCCACTCTTAATCATGAAGAGACAATCAAGGATTACCAGGCATAGGAGGAAAATTTCTAATGTGAAATATAAAGGCCAAAACAGATAAAAAAAGCAACTTGAAGAAAAATAAACTAGGCAGGGGCAAAAATATCCAAGTTTACTATCATCATTCTTAGAGAGAATAGAGATTACATACACAAAACAAGAACACGATACTATTAAAAAAAAAAAAAATTGAGAGAAAACTTAAAAGACTCTTGGATATTAAAAATACGATGGCAGAAATGAAAGACCAAAGAAAAGGACTTAGAAGATAAAAGCTGAGGAAATCTCCAGAAAGCAGAACAAAAATCAAAGAGATGGAAAATAGGAGAAAAATCAAGAAAATTAGAGGATTAGTTCAAAAAGCCCCATGTCTGAATAGAAATTCCAAAAAGAGAAGCCAGATGATACACAGGGAAAAAATCATCCATAAAATTGTTTCAAAAAATTTCCTAGATCTGAAGACTCTGAGTATCCCTATGGAAGGGCCCACTAAGTAGCATGAACAGTGGAATAAAACAGACCCCCCACAAAGGCACATCTCTGGGAAGCTGGAGGACATTGGGGAAAATGAGAGGATCCCACAAACTTCCAGGGAGAAAAAAAAAAATGACATACAAAGCACTACAGATCAAAACAGGTTCAGAATTATCAAAAGCACGAAGTCCATGGAGTAGTGTCTTCACATTTCCGAGAGAAAGTACTTTTCCATTTATAATTTATTATTCATATTTAATAAATATTTTCCTAAAATCCATTCGTAAAGTAATAAAAACATTTTTTAAAAACAAGCTATCAATCAAGTAACCTTTAGATATACAAAGGATAATAGTATATACATATTTTTCATAGAGATGTGTAAATGCCAGAGGAAATACTGTCCTCCCCATAGACAATATTTACTCTGGCATTTACACATCTCCATATTTATTAAAAATATGTATATGCTATTATCTATTGGTGAATCCATTTCAGGTATCATCTTTGTACTTCCTGTTAGCATAGGTGAGGATTTAGCTCTCTTACATTGCTATCCCCTCTCTCTTCCCAATATAACTATTTCATTTTTCTGTTAAATTTATATTTAGTATTTGCATCATAATGCATATGCAAATATCATTCATATCTAAGCATTAACATATACTATGATTAACTGGTGGTATAATTAACTGGTGGGTAAGACATTTGGCTGCTAACCAGAAGTTTGGTGGTTCAAACCCAATAGCTGCTCCATGGGAAGATGAGGCTGTAAAGATTTACAGCCTTAGAATCGACTCTATGGTAGTGGGTTTGGTTTGGTTTTTTATGGGGAGGTGTAGTGAGAGAGAGTTGGGAGGGACAGGACAAGGAGTCATTGTGTTCTGTTCTGTTGTTGTCATTAATTGCTGTAGAGTTGATTCTGACTCATAGTCACCCCATGTGTCCAGAGTAGAACTGCTCAATAGGGTTTTCAAGCTGTGACCTTTGCAGAAGCTCATTGCCAAGACTTTGCAAAGACAACTCTAGGTGTGTACAAACCACCGACCTTTCAGCTAGTCGAGCGCTTAACTGTGCCACCCAGGTACTCATGTTATAAGCTCTTTTAAAAAACTGGGCTTTTTACCTAATATTTGGTATAAATAGACTACCAAGCATAATTCAAAATGCACAAACAGCAGAAGAAAAATCAGATGATTGGGACTTCTAAAAATTAAATGTTTATGTGCTTCCAAAGACTTCTCCAAAAGAGTCAAAAGAGAACCTACAGATTGGGAAAAAATATTTGGTAATAACATATCTGACAAGGGACTTATCTCTAGAATTTATAGAACACTCCAACACCTCAATAACAAACAGACAAACAATCCAATTAAAAAATGGGCAGAAGACATGAATAGACACTTCACCAAGGAGGATATTCAAGCGGCCAACAAACATATGAAGAAATGCTCACGATCATTAGCTATTAGAGAGATGCAAATCAAAACAACAATGAGATACCATCT